CAAACAGGTGCAACAAAGCTAACAGGAGACTCAGGTGATGTCAAGATGTCAATCAAATACAGTATACACGCCCACACAGTCCTGAGAAGAGTTCTTATTAGCCAGACTGGCCACCTGTGAAATCTGATTGGCCACCCCAGGTGCCACCTCTTTATATATATATATAAATAAATTATTCATTATTTATTTATTATTTTTGCAGGTATTTGGTAAATGTATTGAACAAATTTAAATTTTGACCTGATGATGGTGCTAAGGAAAGACCAGGGGATCAAGTCATTACAATAGACATTTATCACAGCAGCCATTTTGATATATAATTGTAGGGTAAACAAAGGTGTTACCCATGATATTAATAAAGGTTCTGTTTCATTTAGTGTAGCAGAGCCTTTACAGTGAGGCAACATGAACAACAGCAGCACCCTGACTCTGTTTGACCTGAATGGAACTGAACCTTAATGAGTACCATCTGTAACACCTGTGGTTACCCTACTATTTCATGTCCGAATGGCTGCTGTGAAAAAGGTTTGATACATCTTGAGGAGGACATTAATGTCTGAACCAAATTGTATGGCAATCCATCCAATAGTTGTTGAAACATTCAACTTTCAAACAAAAATATCAACTTCCTTGTAGTCTTGCGATACCAGACGATTGGAGATCTCAGCGGATAGGGTATATTAATAAATCAGAGCTTCTCAGTACCCAGATCTCTGTGTTCGTGTTGCCTCGTGGCCTTACAGAATGCTCCGGCTGGCTCTGGAACACAAACATTACGGCAAGCTACTAAATTCCTCACCCTGGCCTCTGCCTCCTTCTGAGAGGAGAGAGGAACACTTCGACCTCCTGTCTGCCCCAGTCAGAACTACTGGTGCGGGCTTCATCTCTACCAGCTCTCCAACTTCTACTTCCAACGAACCAGAGATATTTAGTGTGGTTTGATCATACTTGAGTAGCATCTGCCTGGTGGGTAGTACAGACAGAGTGCCAGAAATGAGGGTGGCGCAAGAGGAGAGAGCTCTTGAAGTGTCAAAAGTTCAAAGAGCTCATTCTGTAGGGAGTGTTAATGTGTTCAGGGAATTCAATGAGCCCATTAGATTTTGATACTTTGTAAGTAAGTGAGTACTTAAGTAAGTAAGTACTTGAGTAAGTAAGTAAGTAAGTGTAAGTCTTGGTCCTATGGTGGCACTTTTCAGATCCCCAAGTATTCAAACATAAGGCACTCTTGTTGGCCAGGAATTATACTGTAAGGAAACAAACACTCTGGTTCAAATGTGATTTTGTTGCATTAGAAAGCCATGCCCTCCCACCCAGACAGCATGTTTGTCCATGACCGATTGGCTTAGTGTCTCAGAACTGTTTGCAAAGTGATGTATGAGATAAATGAAACCTTTATGAAAAGCTGTCCACAGAACGTGGCTGTAGTGCAGTCTTAAGACAAAGAGAGAGTAAGAGAGTATTTGTCACTACCATACATCCAGTGTTTTGGTTACTTTTTAACATGGGTGTTCCAAGTTGGGCTAGATAAAATGTTTTCTTAATGGGACTATCTATCTTAAATTCAACTGACAACAGGTCAAATATTAGTATCCCTCTCTGCATCCTCCTTCAGACGAGGCTAAATTCTTTTACCATCCGACCGACAGGCAGGAACCAAAAAGCACACATGGCATACTGTCTCACCATGGAGACTTCTTTACCATTTGCTGTCGTCACTGACGGCGCCACTGGTTCCTATTTGACGACTCAACATTACCCTTGATGACAATGTTTGTTTGCTGGGGCTATTTGGTTGGTGTAAATTCGGGGAAGTGATTCTTCCGACAGAGTTGTTGCACACGAAAGCTGGTGTCCCATGACAACATCTGACTGCTCATTTGTTTAACAGTCATTGTGGCATTTCAGTGGAATTCATGGTACTATGAGAATCAGATGCTAGCAGACACTGGGAAAATATTTCAGGGCCGGTTTCTCATCCTGTTCAATTCCAAAACATATGGGTCTCCACCATCACTGAGGGTTAGGGTTAGGGTTAATGGTTGGTTGAGCTCAGTATAGAGCTGGTAGCACTCTGTATATGTTAAATTGCATGCTTGCCTGTAATTTACCACCACACCAAAGGACACATTTTAGATGTTTCAAGTTTAGACCTTGTGTAATACAGTTCATTTACCCTGTGCACTGTAAAAAATGTCCATGGAATTAAAAGGGAAGTGCTGAAAATTATGATACAGAAAAACTGTAAACAGAATCAATTTACAATAATATGTTAATTTTAAAGTAAGAATATGTGAAAAGATAGATCATATTTATTTGTGCAATTTCCAGATTACTGTAGTTTAAACAGAAAAACTGTGATACAGTAGAGTAAAAATTACAACATCAATGTATTAAAATTATATTTTTTGTCAGGTAGATTTTCTTTCAGGGAAGAAACAAAATTGACTAATTCATGTGTTAAAATCAACAGATGGGAATGTGTACAAATCATACAAATACAGTAAACTTATGTTATTATGAAGGGTTTAAAAAATAGGTGTGTTTAACCCATAGGCGGCACTATTAAGAGTCTAGCTTTCACGCTACCTCATACAGCCTTAGTGCTGCCATTCAGTAACCAGACATTGGTATGCAACATACGTAAACACAACATCACTTTGTCTTTTCCAGTAAGTTTTTTGATAAACTGATAAACTCACTTAGTTTTAAAACTACAGGTTACAAGCTTCTTTTAAAAATACAAAAGTGTGCAATTATCAGTTATCGTATCGGTATTGGCCATGAGAAGCAGGTAATTATTGGTTATCGTATCGTCTGAAAAAAAAAATCCACATTGTGCATCCCTGTATAATCCTTTCTAGGACATTATTAGGAAAATATTTGACTTGTCATATACACTTTTACTGAACTGCGTGGTTCGCAATGATGACAATAAGCACCATGATTAAAAAAGCAGTGCTCTCTGGGAGACTACACAGCAGTGAGAGCTTTGCACCAAAACTGAGGGTAACACTTTTTTGTTTTTGTTTTTCAAATCAAATCACACATTTATATGCAGTGGGTTATAATGTACGGAGGCCTGGAGTGGTCAAAGAGAGAAAAAAATATATATCAAGGTCACGTTTTACTACATTGAGTACTCAAAATGCTAATGCATGCGCACAAAGTACAATTAATTCCCACGTTTGGTTCATTTGTGTGCACCAGATAAGGGAGCTATCAACACGGTACATCTAAATCCAAGTATACCCACCATGTGTAGACACACACAACTTATACAAACATTGTTATAAAAAAGAGCTGAAAAAAACCTAAACTGTTTGGTACATTTTTATTGAATGAAATTATGTAAACTGTGCACAATGGCGGCTTTAGACGGGCCTACCACAGCCCACTGACAGACTTTGTTCTTGACCATGACTTCTAATTGCAGACTTGTCCATGCCTTTCCATTACTAGCTCTTCCAAAGAGTTAAATAAGTTGGAAAAAACATTGTTCTAGCATTGCTGTAAAGAATCATCATTCACTGATTTCCATTGACAAACAACCAATTTGCAGACTTTCCCTTTCTGTATCACACCACTCCAAACTCCATAACAATCCAGTCCCTGTGGACTCAGGAGATCAAGGATGACTCATTTCTAAACTAATACCACCAAACTCAGATGACACTGAGGTGCTTATCCTCAGGAGAGAGAAAATAGAGCCTCAGATGGAAGGATCTCTCCACATCACAGTGAGGGAGCATCATAAATGTGATTGTCTTGGCAGTGTGCGGCACTGTGATGCTCCACAGCAGGTTTATATTGGCTAGGAACCCAGACTGGAAGATACAGGTGTTGTCCAGCCTCACAAAGAGCTGTGACTTTCAGCATGACCTTGACAGAGGAACAGGAAATATGTCGGAAATCAACGGGGACTCGGAGAGTGGTGGAAGTTGGCCTGCGCTGCCACACCGTCCACAGCAGAGGAAATCCCCCCACCCCCACCCCCATCCTGCCATGCACTCTGAAAAAGGATGTGTCGAAGTGGTTCCTCTTCAGCACAATGTGGGATAACAACACACGTCTATGCATGAGTTGTTATTGGCTTGTTGTGCTGAAAACGAATGTGTGGGACATGACTCATCCTGTTTTAAGAGAGTCAGCTAACATCTTTTATGATACTAAAGTCAACATTTCCATAAAGTGTTCACAGTCAAGTAAAGGCTGTGACGTCAAACCTGATTTAAAGGACTACGCTACAATAACTACTACTACCATTGTGTCTCTACCACTGCTACTGCTGACAATGATGCTACTACCGCAGTGTTTGCTGCTGGTATCAATTAACCTTTCCTAAGCCCCGCCCTTTTTGGAACCTTGGTCAGCTTTCTCTTTTCCTGCACTGTCACAGCT